TGTAGAATAGAATAAAATAGAATTGAGTAAATAGAATACTGGAATGTAGAATAGAACAGAAAAGAACAGCACATTGGAGTATAGAATAGAATAAAATAGGATAGGATAGAATATTGGAGTGTAGAATAGAATAAATTGGAATAGAATAGAATAGAATATTGGAATGTAGAATAGAATAGGATAGGATAGGATAGGATAGGATAGAATAACTTTGTCACTTTGAAATGTACACTAATTGGCATACATTAAAAATCAAATTTCGCTGCATACAGCTCTTAAAGGGTCACCGCCTCCAATTTTCACTACATAAATAGGACAAGGAAGCTGAAACAAATAAAGAATGGTTGTTGGAATTGGGTATGTCTAGTCTAAGAAAGAGAAGGACCAGGGATGACAGGATAGCAGTCCTCCAATATCTGAGGGGCTGCCCCAAAGAAGAAGGAGTCAACCTATTCTCCAAAGCACCAGAAGGCAGGTGAAGAAGCAACGGACGGAAACTCATCCAGGACAGAAGCAACCTGGAACTAAGGAGAAATTTCCTGACAGTGAGAACCATTCATCAGTGGGACCACTTGCCTCCAGAAGTTGTAAATGCTCCAACTCTGGGAGATTTTTTAAGAAGAGACTAGACAGCCATTTGTTTGAAATGATATAGGATTTCCTGCCTGAGGAGGGGGTTAGACTAGAAGACTTCCAAGGTCCCTTCCAGCTCCATTCTGATTGATTCTATTCTATTCTCTTCTCTTCTCTGTTCTGTTTTGTTCAGTTCTACTCTACTCGCTATAGTGGCGCAGTGGTTAGAGTGCAGTACTGCAGGCTATTTCTGCTGACTGCTGGCTGCCTGCAATTTGGCAGTTCAAATCTCACCAGGCTCAAGGTTGGCTCAACCTTCCATCCTTCTGAGGGGGGTAAAACGAGGACCCAGATTGTTGAGGGCAATGCGGGGACTCTGTAACCTGCTTAGAGAGGGCTGGAAAGCCCTGCGAAGCGGTATGTAAGTCTAAGCGCTATTGCTATTCTATTCTACTTCTAAGAAGCTATGCCTTTCTCAACGAATGGAGTCAAGGATCGTTTCTATCCAGAGGTTCAAACTTGTGGGAAAGGTGACATCCGATCACCGAGCAAAATCGAAGAGGGAAGCAAGATTCACTTAGCAACCCTAGGTTGTTACTAACTTAACAACCGCGGCGATTCGCTTAACCGTTGTGGCAAGGAAGTTCAACAAAGGGTGGCAAAATTCACCTAACAACGGAGAAGTGGGGCGCAATTGTGGTGGAGGATTCCCTGAACTGAGTCAATAGAATAGAATAACAGAGTTGGAAGGAACCTTGGAGGTCTTCTAGTCCAACCCCCTGCCTAGGCAGCAAACCCTACACCACTTCAGACAAAGGGTGATCCAACCTTTTTTTAAAAAAAAACCTCCAGTGATAGAGCACCCACAACTTCTGGAGGCAAGTTGTTTAATTGTTCTTTCAGGAATTTTCTCCTTAGTTCCAGGTTGCCTTCTCTCCTTGATTAGTTTCCACCCGTTGCTTCTTGTCCTGCCTTCAGGGGCTTTGGAGAATAGCTTGACTCCCTCTTCTTTGGGGCAGCCCCTGAGATATTGGAAGACTGCTATCCTGTCTCCCCTGGTCCTTCTCTTCATTAAATTTAGACATACCCAGTTCCTGCAACCGTTCTTCATATGTTTTAGCCTCCAGTCCCCTAAGTCACCACTACTATTACTATTAATCTTCTCATCGTTCCTATCGCCCATCCCCTCCCACTTGTGACTGTATGACTGCAACCTTGTTGCTTGCACCCTAACCATTTATACTGACTGTTTCCTAGTATGATTTGATTATTTATTGTACCCTATGACTAATATTAAGAGTTGTACCTTATGAGTCTTGTATCTTTTCTTTTATGTACACTGAGAGCATTTGCACCAAGACAAATTCCTTATGTGTCCAATCACAATTGGTCAATAAATAATTCTATTCTTCATTTCAATAAATTATATTCTATTCTAAATTCTATCCTATTCTTAATTCTATTCTATTCTACTCTACTCTACTTCTATTCTTAATTCTATTCTATTCTTAATTCTATTCTATTCTACTCTACTTCTATTCTCAAATTCTATTCTACTTCAGTTCTTAATTCTATTCTATTCTATTCTATTCTATTCTATTCTATTCTATTCTATTCTATTCTTAATTCTATTCTATTCTATTCTATTCTACTCTACTCTACTCTACTGTACTTCTATTCTTAATTCTATTCTACTCTATTCTTTATTCTATTCCATTCTCTTTGTTGCTCTTCTCTGCACTCTTTCTCGAATCTCAACATCTTTTTTTACATCGTGGCGACCAAAATTCAATGCTTTATTCCAAGTGCGGCCATGTGTGTGGCCAAAATGAAACAGATGATTTTGCCGCTAACGGCCATTATTCTCTTCTGATTCGTTTCAGAGCATTCCATTTTTAATTCCGGTCTGTCGATCCAGAATATAAAAAAAGGGTTGGCTGGTTTGGTTCTGAGCTGGCACTGGGAGACGGTGGCTTGGGGGAAGGCTTAACGCTACGGAGCTGGCTCCCTTCCCGTTGTCCTACTTGGGAGGCAGCTGTCCTAACCCCCTCGGGCGTTATGTCTGGGGTAGGCAGAAGGGGCTGTGGAACACCAGCCAAGCCTTGGGGATGCAATGACCCTGCAGAGCTTTAGATGCAATTCCAGAAAGGTCCTCCAAACCCTGAATGGGGCATCTGTCTGCAAGTCCCTCAAGCAACAGCCGGCTGCGTCGAAGGACAGCCTCCCGCGAGCCAAGAAGAGACACTGGTCCTTTCAGAGGTTGTGGGACGGGGGCTAAATTTGTCTCCCGCAACAGGTGCGCAGTCAGAACTGCACCTTGTCTATGGGGATTCTCCGTCAACCAGGTCATGGTTGTCCCAAAAGGCCCCCTCGCCCCCCCCCAGAGGCTACTGGGCTTTCTGGTTTTTCTTGAAGACGTTTCGCTTCTGATCCAAGAAGCTTCTGCTAACCTGCCTTCCATGGAGGACATGTCTACTGCACCCTGAGTCAAAAAGAAGGCTGTGAAACTATCTACAGACCCCTCACACCCCGGATATAAACTGTTTTAACTCCTTCCCTCAAAACGACGCTATAGACCAGTGATGGCAAACCTTTCCGGCACCAAGTGCCGAAACCGGAATGTGCGTGCATACATGTGCATGTGCCAGAGCACCAGAAACCTGAAGACCAGCTGGCCGGTGCGCGCATACATGTTTTTTGGCCTTTTGGGGGGCTGTTTTCAGGCCAGGTTGGGGCTGTTTTCAGCCTATTTTCAGGCTGGTTTGGGGCCCTTTTGGCTGGAAAACGGCCCAGAAAACAGCTGGAAAACAGTCCACAAAACGGCCAGAAAACAACCTGAAAAATGGCCTGGAAACAGCCTGAGAAAGACCCACAAACTGGCCTATTTGGGGGACACTTTTATGCCATTTTCCAGTGCTCTAAGACCAGCTGGCTGGCTAACCCTAACCCTAACGTGACAGCGTGTATGCCCACAGAGGCCTCTGCATGTCACCTCTGGCACACGTGCCATAGGTTTGCCATCACAGTCAGCAGAAGAAGCCTTCACACGAACCACTACGCCACCGAGGCTCACTATATACACACAAGGCAGTTCCACAATGTTGAACAGACAATTGTCCAGACCCAGGTCCAAAAGAACATCCCGAGTGTCTTTTGGGGCCAGTCTGTCTCAGTCCCAACCTACTTCACAAAATATCTGTTTAGGGCAGAGGTCTCCGAACTTGTCAACTTTTAAGACTTGTGGACTTCAACTCCCAGAATTCCTCAGCCAGGAATTCTGGGAGTTGAAGTCCACAAGTCTTAAAAGCTGCCAAGTTTGGAGACCCCTGGTTTCGTGGCAACAGTCTTTTCTGGCTTGGCAGCCCAGAAGACAGCGGCAGGGCTGAGCGGAGATGGTTTCACCTGCCGCTTTCACAAACGCAGCTTCTCATGTGCCTGCATGTGCAAATTGCTTGCCACTTCCATGGCCCGGTTCCAAACAGGCACCGGGCCCGACACCGGGCTGTGGACCCTTGTTTTACGGGGAAATACGAGAAGGGATTTCTACAAATGTCCCCGATCTCCTGGAGGAAAAGGCAGGAAACAATAACTCCAACAAATGAGACAGGAAATGCTGTCTCAAGCGCTGGCCAGCTCAACTTGACCTTCCCTTCAAACAACAATCAATCAATCTGAGCTTCTCGTAAAAGTCACGGCCCCGGCTCATTTGAGCGGATCGTTGCTGCGATTGCAAACCGGGTCGGACATGAGGATCGGTTCCAGAAGTGGTATTTAGCCGGTTCTGACCAGTTCCGGAGAACCGGTAGCGGAAATTTTGAGTAGTATGGAGAACCAGCCAATCCCACCTCTGACTGGCCCCGCCAACCCCATCTCTTCTCTACACCTCCTGAGTCCCAGCTGATTGGCTGGGTCTCCTTTGGTTGCCCTGCATAGGAGGACGGAGCTGGAAAGCAGGTTAGTGGGGTGGGGAAGGAATAGGGATTTTGCGATATGGAATGAAATAGAATAGAATAGAATGGGATGGGATGGGATGGGATAGGATAGGATAGAATGCTTATAGGCCAAGTGTGGTTGGTGCAAATGCTCTCAGTGTACATAGAAGAAAAGATACATTCGTCAAGAGTGAAGAATCCTCAGGTACAACACTTAATAATAGTCATAGGGTACAATAAGCAATCAAATCATACTAGGAAACAGTCAATATAGATCAATATAGTATCCTTCCCCTGGAGTGGGGAGGGAATGGGGATTTTGCAGTAACCTTCCCCTGCCATGCCCACCAAGCCACACCACGCCCACCAAGCCACGCCCACAGAACCGGTAGTAAAAAAAAATTTGAATCCCACCACCGATCAGTTCTCTTTCCTTACTGGGGGAAAAAAAAAATAGGAGACCTTTTTTAAAAGCATCCCGGATCTTTCACTCACCGAAGTCCATTCTGTCTTTCTGGTTTCTCTGAAGCAAGTTCAGAAGCAAATCGGACAAGTAGGCTGAGGTTTCCCTGGGGATGCTAAAAGAGCAAAGTCAAAAAAATAAAAAATAAAAAAAATGGGCAGATGATTTATGGTCTCTCTGGAGGTTCAAAGCCATCCCCAATGGGCTGCGATACCGTGCCATCCTGTGGCTACTTGGAAGGGCACCGGCCGCGACAAACAAAGGCACTGAAATTGGATGCCGCGGTTTAAGGGAGCGCCGAGCTTACCTCGGGATGAGGTTTCTGTTCTTCTCGTAAAACATTCGCAGATCCTGAGGACTATTCGCCTATAAAAAAAATGAGATTGATTTAGATTAAGTTAATTTAGGGTGATTTTGAGGTTGGCTTCACCCAATGTCCTAATGAGGTTTTTTTTTTATTGTATTACGGCTTTGTTTCATTCACGGATCTCTACGGAGGACGGATCTAGACAGCACAACTAAAAGCATAAAACCAACCCCAATATTTATTTTAGAAAGTTTATGAGGATGATTAGCAGTGTCTTGGAATCAAGGGAGCAGCAAATGAGAGTCCCTGTCAGGGCAAGTCCCTTGTGTATCGACAGAGAGCAAACCCTTCTCCCTTCTAGCACGGATGATATTACTTGGCTGCGTCATGAAACGCCTGCAAGAAAACAGCCAAGCTCAGAAAACACCAAGAACCCACCAACCAACCATCCATCCACCCACCCTTAATCAAGGAAACCCTGAGGACACCTCACCAACACTACTGTCAGTGCAAACCACGAGTATAAATGAAAAGAGAACAAACACCACTCCCGTTTAGCTCTGATAATGTAACGTAGCTGGGTCATGAAATGTCTACTAGAAAACCAGCAAGCTCAGAGGGCACCAAGAACTAACCGTCCATCCATGACAGTCTAACCAAGGATACCCCAACAATACTGACAGAGCAAACCATTAGTATATATGAAAAGAGAGCAAACTCCACTCCCTTCTAGCACTGATGTTACCTAGTTAGGTTATGAAATGTCTGCTAGCAACCTACCAAGTTCAGAGAGCATTAACAACCAACCAACCAACCTTCATTCATTCACCCACCCGCAACCAAGGAACTAACCAATGAGCCACCAAGGAACCTCACCAACACTAGCAGAACAAACCGTTAGTATATATGAAAAGAGCGGAAATCTCATTCCCTTCTAGCACTGATGACGTTATCTAGCTGGGTCATGAAACGTTCTGCAAGAAAACCACCCAGCTCAGAGAGCCCCAAAGGACCCCCACATTTCCATCCTGAGCCACCTGAGTCTCCTTTAGTGTTTTATTCTCTGCGCTCACCTGAAAGGGTGGCTTCCCAACCAGACACTGGTAGATGACGGTGCCTATACTCCACAGGTCGGCTTTAGCATCGTAATGCTGCGACATGATCACTTCTGGGGCCTAGGAAATAAAAAGGAGATTGAGTGACAGGAGGGAGGGAGCAGCTGTGGGAGAGAACAGCACTGAGCGGACAGGTGTGTAAGTTAATGCATAGCAGGGAGGGAAATATTTACACTTCCCACAATCTTAGCAAAACAACCCAATTTGCACCCCCCTCTTCCTTCTCACCCATTCCTTCCCAGCTTTCGCTCAGGTGGGGTTAGAAGGAACCAGTCCTTATCACCCCTCCCTTTTTTCTCCCATTCTCCAAGGGTTGCAAAAAAAAAAGTGGGGAGTTGTTTTCCCCTTCTTTGCTGGCTTTATATCAAAGGGGCCGTTTTCTCACGCCGAATTTTTCAGCAAGGGCTTAAAACGATTCCTTTCTGTTGACGATGAAATTCTTTCCTTTAATTTATCGCACGGAGCTTAAGTCTGGTCGTTTGGGTTTGCTCCAAAGCTTTTTTTTTTTTTTTTTTTGCAAGTTTCCTTAAAATATTGGGTGTTTTTTGGGGTTTTTTAAAAGCCCCTTCCAGATTATTATTTTTTTTTTTAAAAAAAAAAGGCTGTCTTTTTAAACAAGACTGGTTCATTTCGTTGTGTTCACACAAGGTCCTTAATGTATTCAGGTGCATTTGTAAAATATCAACAAGCTTAGCGAACACTTCAGTGTTTGTTAAATTTATGGTTCTATGCATTGGGCCAACTTAAGAAACCGAGTTAGTAATCTGGCTAACGGTGACATAAATGAGCCAGTTTGGTTTAGTGGTTAAGGTACCAGGCTACAAAATAAGGAGACCGTGAGTTCTAGTTCTGCCTTAGGTATGAAAGCCAGCTGAGGGACTTTGGGCCAATCACCAGGAGACTGTGAGTTCTAGTCCCGCCTTAGCCATGAAAGTCAGCTGGTTTTTTTTTTTTTTTTTGTAAATTTTATTTGAGTTTTCACAAAGAGAAAAAAAAATACAGATAAAACATCTTTTTTGAAAGCAGCATAATCCCGGGTTACATTTCTTCGTACAGACACAAATTCAGGTTCATGCTCATTTTTATATTCTATTCCATATCTTATTACTATTTTACATTTTCTGCATGGCTTCTCCCACCTTTTAATCTTCTCAATTTTATTTTAATTCTCTCATCTCAATTCAAATCATTGTATTTATATTTTTTGCCTGTCCTGTTTCAATTATCTATTATCTTTTCTCATTAAACAAAATTTCTCCTGTGGTTACTGATTGGAGTATGACGCCTTTATATCTTTTCCCTAAAGTTGTAACATTCAATATAATACATAACTTCCATTCGGATTCTGCTTGGTACATTTTTAGTTGTTGCTTTTACAATTTAACCCGGTCAGCCAGAACTTTCACTTCTTATCTTCCTCCTGCACATTCTTTTCCGGTCGAGTTCTTCTTTGTGGTGGCCATTTCTGACCACGGCTGCAACCGCCTTTGGGAAAGGGAGTAATGGCCAGCTGAGGAGGAGAGATGCGGCTCTCCTCAACCCTGCTGGCGGTCTCCCCACTCTTCACCACCTCTACGGGGTGGCTTAGCCCCAAAACCAGCCGGCTTGGGGCGCTCCAGCGGTGTGCCCAGACAGAAACTGCGCACGATCGCGGATTTCTGTCTGTCGCTGAAGCCCTTCAAACCGGAAGTCAGCTGGGTGGTTTTTGGCCCATCACCGGAAGGCAGTGAGTTCTAGTCCTGCCTTAGACATGAAAGCTGGCTGGGTAATTTTTGGCCCATCACCAGGTGACTGTGAGTTCTAGTCTCACCTTAGCCATGAAAGTCAGCTGGGTGACTTTTGGCCCATCGCCAGGAGACGGTGTGTTCCAGTCCCGCCATATGCATGAAACACCCAGCTGGGTGACTTGTGGCCGGTCACCAGGAGACGGTGAATTCTAGTTCCGCCTTAGGTATGAAAGCCAGCTGGGTGACGTTGGCCAGTCCTTCTCTCTTAACACAACTCACCTTACAGGGTCGTTGTGGGGAAAATGGGAGGAGGAAAGAATTTTATGCATGTTCACCAGCTTGAGTTACTTACAAAGTAATAAAATGGGGGCTAAAAATAAAAACAATACAATAAAATAATAAATGTGCCCAATAAAAGAGAGACAGATAAAACCCTGGATTTTGAACCCATTTAACCTTCAAGTCTCATCTTTGCTATGAGATTTCTAGGTGGTTTTTCATAAGCCCCCTGGATTTCATCTTCGGTTCTCTGCGCCCAATCTAGAGCCATCGCGCAGAAGGGAGTGAAGATTACCAAGGACCTGTGCACAGCCGAAGCTGCCCTAACCTTAAATACTAGCTGCAAAGCTGCACCTACAGCCAAAGAAAACCAAGGGTCTTCACTCACCATATACATCGGGGAACCGCAGAGAGTAGCCGCCATCATGTTGCTCTGGAGGTAACGGGCAAACCCAAAGTCAGCTGCTTAAAGAAAAAACAGAGCACAGTTGAGCGCTCAACCGCTAATAACAGAGGAGTCAGGTGGGACTTTGGAGGTCCTCTAGCCCAACCCCCTGTGCAGGCAGGAGGACCGAGGTAGATGTAATGTGGCCCAACCTCTCCCAATCTGGGACCTCCAGAGATCTGTGGGTTTGACTCCCACATCTCCCAATAGGTCAGAAAATAAGATTTGGTATATCCAACTTTGCATGGAAAATGTTTCTGGACTTTGTGCTTGGGACAGGAAAAAAAACCCTGAAAAACCCTTGGATGCCGGGTTTTATTGATTAATATAGTTTGCTATAGAAATGACTGGTTGGTAAAGTAAAAAGTGGAGGTTGCAATCGTATTTTGTACTTTACTGCACTGAAAAAAAAAAAGGAAGTTGATTTTTTTTCCCGCTTTTCCTTTTCTCCTGCACCTATAACCTCCCTTCTCTCTTTCTTGTTTTCCAACCATCTCCATTTTCACATTCTTTCAATTTTAATAAAATCCTTTCGAGGAAGGGGAGGACATTTGAGAGGGTGGGAGTGAATGCCTTACCAAGACCTCTTCACTTCATGACTCCTTCCAGCATAATTCCAAGCTGGTGCACCGAGAGGTGAAATCACCAGACCGGAGGTTTATGAATTGTGTTCTACGATCGACGGAAGCGGTTCAAGAATGTGAACAAGAGTCTGCCTTGTTCAAATCCGTCGCAAGGTCAAACATTAATTCTGACCGTGGGGAAGCTTCATCCAATTGTGCAATTGTAAGTCAATCAGAGCTAACCTTTAATGCGACGATGGCCAACCTTGGAGGTTTGGCGGGTCACCAGTTAAGAAAATGCCTATCTTAACTCTGCTAGTGTGTCACGCCCTGTCCGCTCCAAACTTTTCTGAACCGCTCCCCTCTGGAAGTCACGTGAGATTACCCTTCCCTTGTGGAGCCTCCTGGGCCACACAAAATAGTGCAAATATGCTTGCACAATTTTCGGATGCCTATTGGTTCTGTAAGAGCACGGTGCCAGAGCTCCGGCAGTGACCCCCATTTAAATCATGAGTCTTGAGCCGAACTTCCAAAACTTAAAGGAAGATTTATGAGGAGTAAACATGCCGGCACTGCCTGGGTGTAGCCGACTCTGAGGCACATCATTCATTGTCACCCTTGACCCTGTTTTTTCCCCCACTTCCCCTGGGCGTATCGTAATTCATATTCTCCAATGGGACATATCCATAGCCCAGAGTCATCAATCATGTTCTCCAGTTAGAATTTTGCACAGCAGAAACTTCCATCACCTAGAACCATGATGGCGAACCTATGGCACGTGTGCCACAGGAGGCACACGGAGCCATTTGTGCCGGCACGCAAGCTACAGGCAAACTTACCTCACTGCGCATGTGTGCACCTCACAGCTGATTTTCGGTGGATTTGAGGCCTTTTTCGGCCTCCCAAAGGCTTGAGGAAAGCTTCTTCAGGCGTCTGCAGGCTTTGTAGGCTGAAAACTAGCCCTGTTTTGTCACTTCCTGTTTTTCCGAACATACCGGAAGTGATGAACAGGCCTAGTTTTCGGCCTGCAAAGCCTGCAGAAGCCTTCCTCAAGGATTTGGGAAGCTGAAAAAGGCCTCAAACCCACCGAAAAGCAGCTGTGAGACGCAGTGCAGGTAAGGGGGCGCGCCTCACAGCTGAGGCGGGGGGGGATTGCGCGCGCATGTGTAGGGGTGTGGGGAGGTGCACATTGCCTTCTGGGTGCTGGCACGCGAGTGCGAGTGTGCAAGCGCATGCACAATTTTTGGCACAGGAGCCCAAAAAGGTTAGCCACCACTGACCTAGAAACTATCTTTGAAAATATTTATGGAATGCAAGCTGCACACTGCTTCCCCCTCCCTTTCTGCTGGCAACTCTAAAAAGACCATAGAAATATTTTATGAGTTGACACAAGGATCTCTTGTACGATTTTACAACGATCCAAAGACCTGTGTGTGTGTGTGTGTGTGTGTGTGTGTCTAGGACAAGTCACCAAAGCCAAGTCACCGCAGTCAACACGCCGTGGGACAATTCAACGCTGAATTAATCATTTCATTCAGTTCCTTTTATTATTGGTGACCACGTTTTTCACTGAAATTATTGTAAGTCTTTGTATTTCGGGATTGGCTTTTATTATTACTGGCCATGGTTCCATCAAAATTAATTTAACTTTTGTATTTGTTGAAATTGTCCCGTGGTGAGTTGTTAAAAGTTGTTCCAGAGGCAACTGGGCTTTCTTGTTTTTTTCTTGGGAAGACGTTTCGCTTCTCATCCGAGGAGCTTCTTCAGCTCTGACTGGATGGTGGGGAATGGAAGGATTTATGTTCCTTGCGGACAGCTGGTCATTTGCATCCTTTTAGAGGGTCGTTGAGGCCACTTGGAGGTTTATCTTTGTTCTCAGGGTCACCTGAGTGGTGCAAATAGATGTGGAAGGGGAGGGTGAGAATATTTGGGGGAAAGCGAAAGTAACTGCCTTATCTCCCTGAGGCACTGCTTCAAGGTCACACGCCTGGGAGAAGAAAGCGGGTAGCTTTGAAGTGACCGTCCCGAAAACAACTAGCTTGAACCCGATTGGTCATTATGGATCAGCGATGGGAGGCAGTTATGGAAGGGAAAAGTTGAACTTAGGGATTTTGGCATGCGATGATCCAGTTCTGGCTATGCATTACTGCGATACACCTGACTTCTAATAAAATTATACCTTCCTCAACAAATGGAGCCAAGGATCATTTCAGGTTTAAGTGCTGGCAGGTGTCAACTCTAAAGCTGACCTGATCGGAGCCGTTTTGTCGCTTCAGTATTGCTACACTGGAGCTGAGAGATAAGGGTAGGGGAAGAGAGAGGTGATGACCCGTAGTCTCTCAAAATAACCCCAAACCCAAAAACATATATTAAAGTCCGGTAAAGCCTTCGACTTAACTTCCGTGTTTTATTAGGCACAGTTTAAAGTCACCAAAGTAAATAAGGAGGCAAACGGAAAACCAAAACAAACCGCATTGAGGAGAGTTCTGAAGCAAGCCGAGATAACTAATTATAAACTCCAGGAAAATAACCGAAAAAAGTCCACGGGAAGAACCCAGCAAAGATAAGCCTCTTTCAAGGTGAACACTGATTGACTTCAGCGATTCTAACTGCGCAGTTGCAAACTTATATACATAGCTCCCGCCTGCAAGCCAGGAGGAGAATCATGGTAATCTCCTCTTGAGTAGACCTCGCTTTTCCCTGATCCTCTCCTCCCTGCGTGCCCTAGGATGGAGACGGGATGGGCCTGGGTCCTCCTGTGACTGCCCAGCCGGCCTCTGCCCTTCTCCAGCCTCCTCCACCACCTCTGGAGCCACACTCCCACTCCCTGTTGGCTGTTCCTCCTCTTCCTCAGAGTCAGATTCCACCAGGGGCAGGACAAGGGATAGCTGGGGTTATATTGTAGCCAAAACAAAATAATTTCTCTTGGGAACCAAGGATATTCTTACACCTGGTCAGAGAGAGGAGGAGTGATGATACCTGGCAACCAGACAACATCTGGATTGGATCATGTGACTGATTGTTTGGGAAAAGGGGAAAAAGACTTTCATTTTGAATTAGATGAAAACAACAGGAACCTTCGCAGTTGGTTTTCACCAGATCTGTGTCAACACGATAGATCCAATAAAGCTGTTCTTTGAGGAATCTACCGGCCTTGTAGGTTTGCGTGATACGGGTCTATTATTTGGAACCCCGACACCAGGTCTGACAAGCCCGCTGTGGCTTTTCAAAGTAACTTTTGAGGGGGGGGTGCTAGCTCCCTCGTGCGGGGAAGTCCACGGCGGGGCAATCGGCACCGACTTGCCTATCTTGACGCGGATGCCGCTGACGTTCGACTTCCTGCGACTGGCGTACGACAGCAGGATGTTCTGCGGCTTCAGGTCCCTGTGGATGATGCCTTTGCCGTGGAGAACGCGCATGGCAGCCGCGATCTGCTGCAGGAAGACCCGGATGGTATCCTCGCTGAGCGTCCCTTTGGCTGGCAGGAAGGGGAGGAGGGCAGGGCAAAGTTATTTCTTTTTTTTTTAAAAAAAAAACGACAACGATTTTTTTAAATTAAATTTTACACAATTAAAAACAACACAAAGGTCAGGGCTCCAACAAATCCCCACCTCGTTCAAAGCAAAAGTCTCCAGCCGCATCTCAGAAAAAGTAAATTGGTTTATTGGAAATTGCCATGTTGGCGCGTGGCTGGGTGCAGCCGGTACTAAATCGCATCATACATTTCCCCCTTGACCCTGGTCTTTCCCCCAACCCCTGGATGTGGCTTCTCCCATCGGACACATCTGTCTCCAAGAGTCATCCATCCATCATGCTCTCCAGTAACCTTTTATGCTCCGACAACTTTGGGCTGCTGAGTTGATATCTAGGCACTTAAGGAATGCACTGTTTCCCCCCGCCACTCCCTTTTTCTGGCCGCTAAAAAGACCAAAGGAGTATCTTTTTAGTTGACAACAAATACAAAACAAAACAACACACGGACCATTTTTACAATGTTGTGACATCTACTTTCCCAGTTTTTGTCAACTATCTACCTACATATATACGGAAGCCTGATGATGGCAGGTGAGATTCTGCCGAAACGTCGCTACAACTTTAAAAGCACAACTACAATGATGCGGGAAAATACCCGAACAAAGCTGAATGCCCTACATATATTTATATATACATTTGTTTATATTATTGTTTTATTCTTGCTGTCCAATCATCCATAACAAATTATAGTATTTTTTTCCAGACCGTATAACATTCCTTCTCTTCCCTCTCTTGTAATTCCAACGTGAGTTTTGTCATTTCTGCACAATCCATAATTTTCTTTATTAATCGTACTGCCTGTGGGGGTACTATCTAGTTTCCAATCTTGGGCCTAGGTTATTCTTGCTGCTGTTAGAATGTGTATTCTGAGGTATTCAATTTCTTTCTTAAATGTTCCTCTAATTATCCCTAAGAAAAACGTTTCAGGCTTAAGTTCTAATTGAAATCCAGTAATTTCTTGCAACCGTGTTCTAATTTTATTCCAGTATTCTTTTGCTTTGGGGCAGGACCGGCATATGTGAAAGAAAGTGCCCTGTTTATTTTTGCACTTCCAGCATTCAGGATTCATATTTGGGTAAATTTCCGCCAATCTTGCTGGTGCTAGATGCCAACGATAAAACATTTTGTAAAGGTTGTCCTTATACGCAACAGCCAATTTCAAAAAATTGCACTCTGACTGGGTTCTCCTTCATACGATAGTTCTTGATTTCTGAACATAACTGATCCCAAAATTTATGTTGCTAAGCAAGACAGTGGTAAAGTCAGTTTTGCCCCATTTGGGGACCTTTCTTTCTTTTTTCTTTTTTAAATTTTATTTATGCCTTTTTTCTTCTTCTTTAAAATACACAAATGCTTATTAAACAGTGTATTGTCTGGATCAATTTATTTATACATTCATAAAATACTAGTAGTGACAATAGTAATCCTATGACAGTAATGTTTGCTTATGAATAATAAAATTCTTACATAATTTACTTATACATATTAGTAATCGTTCATCCTCTAATTTCTACTCCTTTTGCACCTCTATAACTGTCTGGTTTGGTTCTGCAACCCAACAGGACAGACACAGACTCCAGAGAGTGATTAGGACTGCAGAAAAAAACAATCACTACCCACCTGCCTTCCATTGAGGACCTGTATACTGCATGAGTCAAACAGAGGGCTGTGAAAATATCTACAGACCCCTCACATCCCAGACATAAACTGTTTCAACTCCTTCCCTCAAAATGACACTATAGAGCCCTGCACACCAGAACAACTAGACGCGAGGACAGTTTTTTTCCCCAACGCCATCACTCTGCTAAACAAATCATTCCCTCAACACTGTCCAACTACAGGTGAAACTCGAAAAATTAGAATGTCGTGCAAAAGTTCATTTATTTCAGTAATGCAACTTAAAAGATGAAACTAATATATAAGATAGACTCATTACATGCGAAGCAAGATAATTCAAGCCATGATTTGTCATAATTGAGATGATTATGGTTTACATGACTAATCACATGACTAATCACAGCTTGCAATATCTTGCTTTTCATGTAATGAGTCCATCTCATATATTAGGTTCACCCTCTAAGTTGCATTACTGGAATAAATGAACTTTTGCATGATATTCTAATTTTTCGAGTTTCACCTGTATTTACTATGTCTGCATTACTATCACTATTCATCTTCTCATCACTCCTAATCGCCCACCCCCTCCCACTTGTGACTGTATGACTGTAACTTAGTCCCTTGTATCCTTACGATTTATATTGACTGTTTCCTATATGACTTGACTGCTTATTGTACCCTATGACTATCATTAAGTGTTGTACCTTATGATTCTTAATGAATGTAACTTTCTTTTATGTAAGAGAGCATTTGCACCAAAGACAAATTCCTTGTGTGTCCAATCACACTTGGCCAATAAAAGAATTCTAGTCTATTCTTTTGTCTTTTTAAGGCCTTTTTCCGCCACACTGTTACGTCAATCCCTGCAGTTGTTAAGTCAGTGACAAGGTTATTGAGTGAATTTGACTTCTCCGCTGAATTGGCCTTCTCGACCTTCAGATGAGGAGATTTCTGAGTAGAGCATTTTAGCCCATCAATCAGCTTAATTGAACCTTCGTGTGCGGACCTGATCTTTCTCGCCTGACCACGCCTTGAAACATGCAGTTTATCAGGCAGCCACAACCAGAGACGTCTAGAATTTGAATGACACCCATCCAGGCACGTCTGGCTGATGTGCTTTGGCTGGACTTTGACTTCTAATACTGAATAACAGCACGGGATTAACAAAAATGGGACTCAGATCCTGTATATCTGGACAGCAACAGACTTTATAGGACAACAAATACAGAGTAGTTCCTCGACTTATGACTACAATTGAGCCAGCGGTGGGATTCAATTTTTTTTTTTTTTATGACCGGGCTCTGCGGGCATGACTTGGTAGGTGTGGCAAGGGAAGGTTACTGCAAAATCCCCATTCCCTCCTCACCCCACTAACCTGCTTTCCAGCTCCGTTCTCCTGTGCAGGGCAACCAAAGGAGACCCCGCCGATCAGCTGGGACTTGATAGGAGGCAGGGAATAGGTGGGGGCGGGGCCAGTCAGAGGTGGGATTGGCCGGTTCTCCCAACTACTCAAAATTTCCGCTACCGGTTCTCCAGAACTGGTCAGAACCCGCTGAAGGCCACCTATGCACTGAGCCCCAAATGTCTGTTGTTCACTGAGACATTTGTTAAGTGAGTTTTGCCACATGTTCTGCACCTTTCCTGCCACTATGGTCAAGTGAAACACTGCAGTTCAATCAATCAGAACAGAGCTAGGAGGGACCCCGGAGGTCTTCTAGACCAGCCCTCTGCTCAAACAGGAGACCCTGTACACGTGATGGCAAATCTATGGCACACGTGCCTGAAGTGGCACGCAGAGCCATTTTTCTGGGCAAGTCAGCCATCGCCTGTTGCTCTTCTGGTCTTCGTGTGTGTATATATATCCAAAGGACCCTCTGTGGTTATTGTACAGTACTGCAAGCTACTTCTGCAGCCGGCTGCCTACGGTTTGGCAGTTCAAATCCCACCAGGCTCAAGGTTGACTCAGCTTTCCATCCTTCCGAGGTGGGTAAAATGAGGACCCAAATTGCTGGGGGAAAGAGGCTGACTCTGTAAACGGCTTTGAGAGGGCTATAAAGCACTATAATAAGTCTAAGTGCTATTGCTATATGCGCCAGAAACCAGAAGAACGGGTGGCCACCGCGCATGTGCATGCTGGAAACTGGAAGCTCCGCTTCCTGGCGTGTGCTTGCAGGCCAGGGAGCTGCTCTTCCGGTTTCCAGTGCTCCCCTTCCAGTACTTGGCGCCCAAAAGGTTCGCCAACACTGCCCTATACCAAGTGGTGGCTAACCTTTTGGGGCTCCTGTGCCAAAAATTGTGAGCGTGCTTGCAAGCTCACACTTGCGTGCCAGCACCCAAAATGCAATGCGCGCCGCCCCCTCCCCATGCCCTCTGCGCATACGCTCGCAATCCCCCACCCCCTTAACTGCACTGTACCTCACAGCTGATTTTTCGGCTGGTTTGAGGCCTTTTTCGGCCGCCCGGAGGCTTGGAAAAAGCCTCTGCAAGGCTTTTCGGACTGAGTTATAGGCCTGTTTCGTCACTTCCGGTATTACAGGAAGTGACGAAACGGGCCTATAATTCAGGCCTGTTTCTGGCTTCCGGAAGGCCTCTGGAGCCCAGGGGAGACCGTTTTTTCCCTCCCAGAGGCCTGAGGGAAGCCTCCGGACTCTGGGGAAGGTGA